ATATATATATATATATATATATATATATATATATATATATATATATATTTACTTAAAACAAATTATAGATAATATTCTATGTAACTTTTTGTTTAGAATTTAAAAACATAAATTTTGGAAACACTTATGTATATTATAATTTCTTTTATTTATATATTACGTTTGAATGAAATATTAAAAATAAAATTGATTAATTTTTTTGTTGATTTTAATATTGGAGTATTAGAAAGAACGCAAAACAAATCATGAATTTGGTGGGCATTTTGTCATATACAATTAGATTTTTTTTATTCATTTTACTAAAAACTTTTAAAATCAGAGTTGTGTTTCATTATATATTTTATTCACAAATAAGATAAAATAAAATTTTATTTGAAATTTAAACATGGAGGTGTAATTTGATTTTTTGATGATTAAACTTAATTTTTAAATAAAGTAAAAAATATTTTAGAAAAAATTAAAGATGAGTGATATAGTTTATTTCTCCATGCAAAGCATGGATAAGTTCACTAGTAATACAATAATGACAAAATCAAATATGTAAATATTTGTTATCATTTTATGACTTCCACATATTTAGAAGAAAAAAATGATCAAATAAAAAAATTTCATTCGATAATTTAATTTAGTACTAAAAGAAATCTTTTTGGTAAATCAAAGAAATCTATACGTTGCCAATGCACTTAGATTGATGACGAAATTAGTTGAGTTTAAATGTAGAAACATCTTTTTGTAAGAATTCTTGTAGAAAGTTCCATAATTTGGATTTTATTTAAAATTAAAAATATATAATAGCAAAGTAAATAAAGAATATCAAGTTTTGATATTTACCTGGTGGAGAATTCTTCAATTTGTAACAATGTGTACTTCAATCCTACAAATCATAGTTCTAATTTTGTAACGTAGATAAAAAATAATACAAATTCAAAAAGAAACAAAAAAATGAGTCAATTGAAAACACATTTCAAATTTATTTCGTATTAAAAATATAAAACTTCGAACAAAGATATGATCTGCATTCTTCTTCTATTTTGGTAAAACTTAAAAAATCTTCTTTCATTCATAATTGTATTTTTTTAAAAATTGAAGCCTTAAAATTAAAGTTTTTCAAGAAAATCAATAAATGCAAAATGATACAGAGATTGTGGGAAAAAATGAAAATCTGTTGATATGACTACAAAGCGGGTGGAAGTTAAAACATTTTTGAATTGACAATGTTCTTTTTTTTTTATTTATTTAAAATTTAAATGTTCTTAAAATCTTATTTATTTGTTGCTTATTACTTGTTGAGCTAAAGTGTATAGTTCAAAAATTAGTTATTAGTTAGTTAAAAATCAGTTACAAAAGTTTGTTATGGTTAATTGTAGTTAGGTATTTTAACTAGTCTAGTTAATTAGTTGATTCACATCTATATATAGTGATGTATAGATATCATTGTATGTGTACAACATTCATGAAAATAAAATAGAAGCTTCATTCTTCTTCTCCTCTTAGCTTACTGCTTTTCAGTTTATACACTATTGTTGGTGCTTTTCATGGTATCAGAGCTCTAGGCGTTGTTCACGTGATCGTTTAGCTTTCAGTGCAGTAGAAGAATTGAGGTAATGTATTGTCCTAGAAGCTATTGAAGATCGCAATTACAACAACAAGTGATCAGGCCGACTGAGTCTTTCAACCAGTGGTGCAGTTCAAGGAGGAACTACAATGGTGGATTCTCATCATCCACTTTTCTTGCAATCATGTGATACTCCAGGTAGTTCTCTAGTTTCCATTCAACTCTCTGGATCAGAAAACTACTAATTGTGGAGTAGATCTATGACGATAGGTTTTCAAGGAAAAGGAAAAATAGGATTTATTGATGGAAAATGCTGTAAGGATAAATTCAATTCTTCTCTACATGATCTATGGGAAAAATACAATGCTATAGTACTATCATGGATAATGATCTCTATAAGTAGAGAATTATTGAGTGGAATAGTCTATGCTAGCACTGATCAACAAGTATGGACTGATCTGAGAGAGAGATTTGACAATGTTGATGGCTCTAGAATCTTTTATCTGCATAAGGAGATTGCCACACTACAACAAGGGCTTATGTCTGTTTCTAGTTATTTTTCTAGTCTTAAGGAGTTGTGGATGGAGTATGACTCATTGATGCCCTGTCCTGGTTGTTCCTGCGAAAGTTCTAAGACCTATGTAGAGCATTTTGAGTATCAAAGACAGATGTAATTTCTCTTAGGACTAAATGAATCTTATAATCAATCTAGAATTAAGATTATGATGCTGGATCCAACACCAGGTGTAAACAAAGCTTATTCTCTTATAATGGCTGAAGAAAGTCAGAGAATCCTTGGTAAATCGAGCACCACAGGAAGTGATCACTCTGTTTCAGATAATGTTAGTGGAATAAACGAGACTATGACATTTTTTAGCAATGGCAAAGGACAAATGCTAAGATCAGTATCTACTTCACAGTCAGTGTCTAATCTTCCTATGGGAGATGGTTTTAGATCTAATCAGAAACAATTTAACAGTAATAATACTCTTTACTGTGATTATTGTAACTGGAAGGGCCATGTTCAAGCTAATTGTTACAAATTACATGGATATCCTGCTGATTGGAAAGGTAAAAGGAGAAAAAGTACTGTTTCTGTTTCAGCTAATCATGTAGGATTCAACAATACTCCTGGATTGCCTATGCATCATCAAAATACAACTAATGAGTCTTGTTCCTCTAAGGTTCAGCCTACTGTATCTTCTGGTGTTTTTCTCAACAGCAGTAGTTGCACTCTAACCAACATCAATTTCACCTTATTTTTCTCCACAACAGTATATGCAACTCTTGAAACTGATTGAGCCAGAGAATGCCAAGAGTAATTGTGATGCTCCTTTTGCACATGCTTCAAGTATAGCTACTTCTCTTATTCCTGATGCTGACAAATGGATCATTGATACATGTGCATCCAAACACATGGTACACAATTTAAATATGTTAACACAGTGCAGATCTTTAGATAAGAATATGTGTAACAAGGTAGATCTACCTACTGGTCGTCTTGCACATGTTAGTCACATAGGGTCTTCTCAAGTTCTAGGAGGAGCTAAGATCTCAAATGTGCTACACATTCCGGAATTTCCTATAATCTTTTATCTGTATCTATGCTTACAAGGGAACTGAATTGTTGTGCTATGTTTTATCCTAATCATTGTGTTTTCCAGGACCTCTCAAATAGGAATGTGATGGGCACTGGCACACTGGAGAATGATCTATATGTGATTGATGTTGATATTCAGTTCAAGACTCAGGGAACTCAAATAAATCCGTAGCAAACTCAAGCTACAACTGCTAATGTGGTTTCTTCTCATAGAACTTCAAATTTGACTCTGTGGCATCAAAGATTGGGTCACTTACCTGTTAGTGTACTAAGAACACTTAGTTGTTGAAAACATATGTCTTCTTCCTTTACTGATATATGTACTGTTTGTCCTCTTGCTAAGCAAGTCAGATTACCTTTTCCTTTAAGTACCACTACTACACCAGCTTGTTTTCATACATTACATGCTGATGTGTGGGGTCCCTATCGAGTTCCTACTCATGTTAATAAGAGATATTTTATTACTTTAGTAGTTGATTACTCTAGATACACTTGGGTGTTTCTGCTGAACTCTAAGTCTGAGGTTATTGTAGCCTTACAGAACTTCTTTAAAATGCTTGGCAATGTTTTTTCTAGCACTATCAAAGTGTTGAGATCTGATAATGGTTGTGAGTTTTTCAACTCTCAAGTTTTTGCTTTGCTTAAAGCATTGGGTATATTGCATCATAGTTCTTGTACTTATACTCCACAGCAAAATGGGATTGTAGAGCGAAAACATAGACATACTCTTGAGATGGCCAGATCTTTGAGATTTCAATCTTATTCCTCTCAAATTTTGGGGAGAGTGTGTTCTTACAAGTGTGTACTTAATCAATAAGATACCCTCTAAAATTCAAAAGGGTAAACCTCCTCATGAATTGTGGTATAAAACTCTTCCTTCTCTTGATTATATTAGGGTGTTTGGTTGTCGTGCATTTGCTTCTGAGGTAAAGAAGACTGACAAATTTGCTTCTAGAGTTGTTCCAGTTGTATTTCTTAGTTATTCTAGTCTTCAAAAGGTCTACAAACTTTATGGTTTATATACAAAAACTTTCTTTGTTAGTAGAGATGTTGTGTTTCAAGAATCCATTTTTCCTTTTCAACATCGGAATTCTTCTAGTTCTTCACCTTTTCCCGTGTTTCAATTCACAGCTGATGCTTATACTTCTACAAATTTGCCTTGTGATCAGCCTCTCACAGTGTTTTTTGATTCCTCTATAGATCCTAACTCTAATTCTTCTGTATTAATATCTCCATTACCCATTCCTTCACCAGAATCTGTTAGTCTTAGAAAATCTTCTAGACTAACTAAACCTCCTGTATGGATGACAAATTTTATTACTCCTAAGTCTATGTCTTCTTGCTTATATCCAGTCTCCAATCATGTGTCATATAATCTTCTCTCTACTTCCTATGATGCTGCACTTACGGCTTACTCTTCTATCTCTGAGCCTACATTTATTGAGGCTTCTTCCCATCTTCAATGGGTTTATGCCATGAAGGCTGAAATCAGTGCTTTGGAGGCCAATCACACATGGAGCATTATTGATCTTCCTCCTGGCAAGCATCCTATTGGTTGTAAATGGGTGTTTAAGGTCAAATATTTGGCCTCATGAGCTGTTGAGAGGTATAAGGCTCGGCTAGTTGCCAAGGGTTTAGTCAGAAGAAGGGCATAGACTATATTGAAACTTTTTCTCCTGTTGCAAAGATGGTTACAGTTCGATCAGTTTTGGCTGTTGTTGCTGCTAAACATTGGCCTATTTTTTAGATGGATGTTCATAATGCTTTCTTATAGGGTGATCTTCTTGAGGATGTATACATGGTGATTCCTCCTGGTTTTAGTAAGTCTGAGACATCTACTAAAGTGTGTAAGCTTCACAAATCACTGTATGGCCTCAAGCAGGCTCCTAGACAGTGGAATATGAAATTAACCGAGGCATTACTTCAGCTTGATTTTGTTCAGAGTCACTATGACTACTTCCTGTTTACTAAGCATACTGGTTCTTCTTTAATTGTAGTACTTGTGTATGTGGATGATCTTCTTGTTGCTGGGAGTTGTGAGTATTTGGTTGTGCAAACAAGGAATGATCTTCAGCTTAAGTTCAACATGAAGGATCTGGGAGAGTTAACTTTCTTTCTTGGCATTGAATTTGCTAGGTCCAAGGAGGGGTATGTTATGAACCAGCGCAAATATGCTTTGGAACTTATTTAAGAGATGGGATTAAGTGGTGCAAAACTAGTTCACACTCCAATATATCCTAATGTAAGGTTGACTTCTATTGAATATGATTTACATGTGCAAGGTGATTCAGGAGTTATACAAGGAGATAAACCTTTGAAGGATATTGGAAGATATCAAAGGTTGGTAGGTAGATTACTATATCTCACTATGACCAGGATAGACATATCATTTGCTGTCCAAGTTCTGAGTCAATATATGCTTGCTCCAAAAGAATCTCATGTGGAAGCAGCTCTCCGGGTAGTCAGATATATTAAAACAACTCTAGGGTTAGGTCTTTTTATGCCTTCACAAAGCTCAGAATTACTTACAACCTACTGTGACTCAGATTAGGGTACTTCTATGCAAACAAGGAAATTTGTCACAGCCTATCTTGTGAAATTTGGTGATGCTATCATTTCTTGGAAGTCGAAGAAACAAGAGACTGTTGCTAGAAGTTCTGCAGAAGCTGAGTTTGGGAGTATGGCATCAATAGTAGCTGAAATTATGTGGCTTATTGGATTATACAAGGAGTTAGGAGTCAATATTAAACAACTAGTCAATCTATTTTGTGATAGTAAAGCAGCAATTCAAATTGCATCTAATCCTATCTTTCATGAACAAACTAAGGATTTTGATATAGATTGCTATTTTGTTAGAGAAAAGATATTACAACATATGATCAAGACACAACATGTATCAACAAGAGATCAACTAGCAGATTTACTTACTAAAGGACTTTGGAAAGCTCCACATCTACATTTAACGTCCAAGCTGGGAGTGAAAGACATTTTTCAACCATCAGCTTGAGGAGGGGTGTTGAGCTAAAGTGTATAGTTCAAAAGTTAGTTAAAAATCAGTTACAAAAGTTTGTTATGTTAATTGTGGTTAGATATTTTAACTAGTCTAGTTAGTTAGTTGATTCACATCTATATATAGTGATGTATAGATATCATTGTATGTGTACAACATTCATAAAAATAAAATAGAAGCTTAATTCTTCGTCTCCTCTTAGCTTAATGCTTTTCAGTTTATGCACCATTGTTGGTGCTTTTCATTATTTTTGAAAAACAAGCAAATGTGTGACAAATTTGGTTTATTATAATTGTGAAGTTTCATTATTTTTTTAATAAAAAGCATTTAAAACTACATATTTCAAAAGTATTTAAAAACTGCAAATTTACATTTTAATTGTGATTAAAAAATTATTTTTAGGAAATATATAAAGAAAAGTGATGATATTTAATTAGTTATTCACAATTTTAGTCACAAATACATGGATAAAATTACGTATACTAATTCTAATTCTAATTACAAATAGTAATAAGTAAAAAAAAATCAACATTATACAAGTGTAGAATAGGTATATTTTTAAAATTACCAACTAATGCAGATTTAAAGTATTTTAAGTTATTTTTGTAAATTACAAACGTTATTTTTTTAGATTTAAAGTATTTTAAAATTTAATTTTTAATATAAAAAATGGAGAAATTTTGTAGTGCTAACATGTAACGCTATTTATTTCTCCTTTAATATATAGATAAATATATAAAATCATCTTATTACCAAAAAGAAGAATAAGAATAAGAAACTCAAATAATGATAAACAATTAGATACTTAAAACTCAAACTTGTGTTGCATATAAAAAAAGGGTGGGAAAAATTAGACACTAAAAATTTAATTAATTTTTTTGCTTTCATTAAATCAAAATGGTGTATAGTGTGGCAGTAATATGAGCATAGATCTAAGACGAGCTCTCAATCCAAGCAAATGAGTTAGTTCTATGGAGACGTTGGAGTTTGTATGGTAAATAAACTCTCAAGTTGTTAAGTTCGAACGTAACCCAACAGACCAATTATTAAAGCCAAGCTTCAAT